TGCCCAAGATCCCAAGAGGAGAATGGAGGAGAAGGGATTGTGGCATGGTCACCCCCTCCCCTGGGGAGTGATTTCTCGTTTTCCGTCTCTCTGTCTCTGTCTTTCTGGTGAGTGCACGTGCCCTATAGCAAAAACCTTTCCAAAAAAATGTTTTCTCATTTCTGAAAGACTTGTACCACTTTGGAATTCTTTATGTTTTGTAGAACAGAGTCCATATTTTTGTTTGTTGTTGTTGTCATTGTTAAGAATTATTTATTTAACTTTAGTTACTCATTCATTTATTTTAATTTGACCGAAGAGAGATATATACACACACACACACACACACACACACACACACACACACACTCAGAGAGAGAGAGCGAGCAAGCCACCAGGTCCAGGACTGCAACCGTGATTGGCCATGTTGGAGTGTCCAGTGCCTTAACCACCACACTACCTGTTGGTCCCCAGAGTCCATATTCTAACATCGAAATTCTTACTTTACTTGATATCTAAACATACATCCCAGAATAATCTCTGGCACATAGTAGGTGCTTAGTGATGATATGCTGATACTTTGGCTTTTTACATTTCCTCTTTCCTAGGACACTGTCTCTTAAGAGTAATATTCAATAAATGCCAAATGCTGTTCTGTAATTTTTCATTTACTTGTACATACCTTTTTACTTCTCTGAAACTAGCCATTTTGCAGACTCAACCAATGTGGATACCAACTAAAAATAAAAAAGAATATAACCAGTGTCTAAAAATCAGAGCTGCCTATCTTCTACTTAAGAAGGGAAGGAAACATGATACATCTGGGAAATCTTTTGATCACAAATATTTAAGGTGCAGTAATCTAATGTAGCAGGGTGACTGTCAGAAGTTGCTCAATCTCTTTGGCTTCAGTTATCTTATCTCTTCTTCAGAGAGATTTTTGCTATAGGGCATGTTTGCTTGCCAAGAGACAAAGAGACAGAAAGTGAGAAGTCACCCCCTCAGGTGGGATGGCCATGTCTCAATTCCATTTCCTCTCAGAATTTTGGGCATGCATGCACATGGGCCTGTCATGAGTTTTAAGCTGCTGAGTCTGGGCCCCGAACTGTGGTTGACTACGTGGGAGCCCAGCAACATAACCATTATGCCATCTGCTGGTCCTTTTGTAGAGGTTTTTTGCCTTAGGGTATGTGTGCTCGCTGTACAGAGAGAGAGAGAGAGATAGTGAGAGACAAAATAAATTACCCCCAGAGGCATGACCACACCACAATTTCCTTCCAATTCCTTCTTCTCCATTCTTCTGCTGGGATCTTGGGCATGCATCCACATTCACCTGGCATGAGTTTCAAGCCATCAAGTCTGGGACTCAAACTGCAGTCAGCCATGTGGGAGTGTAGCAACATAACGACTATGCCGGCTATGCCGTCTTCTGGCCCCCTCTTATCTTTTAAATGTGAAGGCAGCACTTGGTGATTTGTAAGGCCCCTTCCAAGTCTTGTAACTTCTATGGTCCAACAGTTCTTGGGTCACCTACTCACTGTGGACCTGTTTGCTCATTCATAAAATGAGAAGTGGGCAAGTACTAAAGTCCTAGCAATCTGTGACTTGAAAGGAACAAACTTTTAACTGTCCAGAAAATCTAGCTATCTTGAACGGCCATTCATCCGGGGCATCGGTTAGCCAAGATTTTACTGTACATGAATACATAGTTTTAAAAAGACTAACTTAGCCCCTAGGAAAACATTTGGCACTGGTTAAAACTGTGCAAAAATCCTCATTCTTTGTAGGGAATGTTGACTTTAGTGTATATAATCCCCATCTTGTTGCATCTTTTTTCCCTCTTTTTGGCTAGAGTTCTATTTGGGGTAAAAAGGTGTGTGGGCACTCACACATCAGCCAGGAGCCTGCCAGGTTCGGATTTTCTCCTGACATTACTAATCCCCCGTTCCTGTTCTAAGGGCACTGTGGATAAGTGGTATCCAGAGTAACACGGCCGAGCAGGTGAAGTGCATTGCAGGGCTGCCCTGCATCCCCGTGTCTGTTCCCCAGGGTGGTATCTGCTTCCAAAAGTCTGTGTTTGCGGAACTGGTTGCTACTGATAGAGAGGAATGCACTAATCCCCTGATACTGACTCCAAAAGAGGAGCGGAAGGTGGGGCACAGAGATGACAAGACAGGAACTTTTATTTAGATGCCAGTGTGTGATACCTAGCCGTGATCCTTTTTAAGCACTGATGGCAATGAATGACAGGATGGAATCGGCTGTTATACCCAGAACGTTTTACTTCATAAAACTAAAATGATGAAACAGTTCCATTTTTCACCCCCAAAGGATGGCCAGCCCATTTTGATTTCAGTATTTTCACCATTGCCACTTCTTCCTCCCATGAACTTTGTACCTGAAACCCTTCCCCACGTCCTGCCATATGGTGTCTTAGTTCAAGGCCTTCTAAATTCTGGCTACACACACACACACACACACACACACACACACCTATGCATCCAGCCTTCCCACAATTTTTCAATCCATTCTGAAACATCAAGATATGCCTGGTACACTCTCTGATAGCTTTTGTTCATTTCGTCATCTCTACCTGGAATGCTGTCCCTTCATGTGACCGCTTTAATCCAGGCCCATCTCCAAAATTTAACTGAGGTTCCATCTCTTCCCTCATGTTTACTGAGTGCTCTGTGCTTTACTGCTCTGAAATCTTGGAAGGCCTTCCTGTACCCTCAAGGTTAGAGGTACTATAGAATATATTCCTTTTGCCATCTGCACAGGTCTTGGCATAAAACAGAGCACACAGTAGGTGCCCTTCTAAATCTTGGTTGTGAAGTTAAGGGTCAAAGTGCAGCGTTGTAGTCGGTGTGTTTGAGAAGGCACGCTGGTGTTCCAGTCGGCACAGTCCCAATGATGGTAGCTGCCACGGTGGAGCAATGCGTGGTGGGCAGGTGAGAGTAGCCTCACATAGCTGAGCCTGCCAAGGTATCTGTAAGGGGATTTTGAAATACTCCAGCAATTTATGTGAAGGAGAGACTGGACCTGGGAGGAAGGGTGTTTACAAGGTGGGACATGTACGCAGTTCGATTGTTTAAGGTCATGCGATCCTCTTCCTCACCTCCCTCTCCCAGCACATACCTTCCCTTTATGTAATCTTGATCTAATGTACCTCTTCAGGAGGAAGACCAGTCTGCTAATTGTGACCTCTTACAACTCATGATTAAAAAGTTTGTGGCCAAACATTGTGTCAACATGATAGACTTGTCATCTCTGGACCTGTTTTAGCCTCACCACTGCTGTCTTTTTTTTTTTTTTTTCCTTCTTCTTCTTCTTCTCACTTATTAGGTAAACCCCACAGCCCAGTGTACTCAGGCCCTTCTGAAGATGATCTACTGCTCCCACTGCCGAGGCCTTGTAACTGTGAAGCCGTGTTACAACTACTGCTCAAACATCATGAGAGGCTGTTTGGCCAACCAGGGCGATCTCGATTTTGAGTGGAACAATTTCATAGGTGAGCAAATGGTCAGTGTATTCGTGTTGCTGGAGATACCTCCACTTCTGGCACAAGGAATGTTGTCATTGCCAGCTCTGACAGTTCTGCTCATTTTACTGTAGGTTAGTGTTTGCCAGGTTCCTTCCTGACTATGCTCACAGCTTGTACCTTGAGTATAATAAAAATATTACTCTAAGCAAATGTTCTCTCGAACAAAGGGTGGCGTTTCTAACAACATTAGACACAGTGACTACCAACTATTCATATCAAGAAAGTGCCTTTCTGATATTTTCCCCCCAAAGGTTAGTTTTAGTTATGCATCATAGGCTTTTTTCCATGTAAATGCTGCAGTACAGCCCTCATAGAGCTGTGAAGGTGGCTTTTAAAGTGCATTGTCTGTTACACGGCAATTGAGTCTTCTGCAAACTAGATAAATAGTTATCCGAGAGTCTTCAAACAAAAAGTTCATGGAACATGCACATTATGAAAAAAGTATGCCTAGATTTTCAAAACTTGGGCACCAAAATGAACTCATACTTTAATTTTTAAAAAGAAGTATTTAATTTTATTAATCATTATTATCATCATTATTTTTCCATTTGCTGTAGGACACGTGTGCTTACCAGAGAAAGACACAGGGAAGGAGGGAGGGAGAGAACGTGAAAAAGTAAGCTACCAGGTCCAGGACTCAAACTGTGGTTGGCCATGTGGGAGTCCAGCACTTTCACCACTACGCCACCTATAGGCCCCTGGACTTGTATTTTTTTTTTCTTTTTTTTGGAAAGGTTTTGCTATAGGGCGCATGCGCTCGCTAGAAAGAGAGAGACAGAGACTGAAAGCGAGAATTCACCTCCCCCCTAAGAGGGATGGCCATGCCGCAATCCCTTCTCCTCCGTTCTCCTCTCGGGATCTTGGGCACGCATGCTCACGCACCTGGTGTGAGTTTAAGCCGCCGATCTGATTGGGACTCAAACCACGGTTGACTACATGGGAGTCCAGTGATATAGCCATTATGCCAACTGCTGGTCCCTGGACTTGTATTTTCATTCTGGTTTTCTGTTGTCATTTAGAGGACCCCTTGTTTTGTTATTTGCTTCAGGTAATATCCGATTGTGGAAATTTAGAGATTTTGTTTCTTGAGAAGTTTGGTAATAACAGACTGCTCTGAAACCGGAAGGACTTTTGCCCTGGTAATTGAAGAGATAACTATTTCTCCTATACCTTCCACCTTCAGAACCATTATTGGAACTTAAATAGTAATGTAAGGGAAGTGGCTAGTTTCTAAGAGACTTAATTATGAATTTTGCGAAAGGACAAAATAAGTGTAAGTTTAATGTCCAGTCTTAGGCCACCTTGATACCTACTCAGCACATATATTAGTCCTGAAACAGCAGTGACTGGTTCGGAAAGACCTGAGGCTGTTAATGGAGCGCACACACGCAAACTAACAGCTCACAAAAACAAACTCACATTTTCCCACCCCCAGTCACATTTGCATAATTGCAGAATTTGAGTGTCTTTATAAGCACCTATTTTTCACTTATTTGTCCCCATCATGGGAACATGCATGCAATTTGCTGGCTTGTTTTTGGGGTGGGGGTGGATTGGAGTTGGGGAATGCTTTTTAGTCTGCATGAGAGCTAATTACCATATTAACTCTGTTTGAAAGTGCATCAATAAATTGGCTCCAACAGATTCTTGAGAACACTGACACAAGAAAAAAAAAAGATGTGAATATTAAGCACTTCAGCACAATTGTAGCCTAAATAGCTCAAAGTAGAAGAACTGAAAAAAATCTTCTACACACAGAAAAGCAGAATCCCATGAAAGGGAAGGCATAAGACCAGCAAAGACACAAATGGCACATCATGGCCAGAATAAAGCCATGGGAGAAATTGTTCCTTCAAAATATTTCTCATGGAAGGAGACGCTCATGGCATTTCTAGATTGAAAGGTGTTTTTTTTTTCTTTTCTTTTTCTCTCTCTCTTTTTAATTCTACCCTCATCCCCACACCCAAATGCCAAATTTGCAATCTACTTTTGCTAAACTGAGTTTTAAAAGAAAGTTGGTAAGCCTTTTCACTTTCTCTGGGCAAAGGAATAGAATTTGCCATAGAATACAAAAATGTGTGGTAACAGTGATACAATTTTGCTAACTTTTCTACAGATGGCATCAAAAATTAAATGCAAATGACCATGTCCCTTGCACTAGTTTATTACTCTAATGTGTTCAACAGAAACTAAAGTTCTCATAGCCTTGTTTTAAAATACAAATTCTCTTATGTATGTATTCCGAGTTTGGAGGTCCATATCAAATGAAAAACATACTCTGGCTTGCTTAATTTATGTTTTCAACTAGTTCCCCTAAAACAAGGAGAACTTCAATTGCTGCTGCTGCTGTTATTGTGTATTTAAAAAAATTGCATGTGGTATCTTTGAAGAAACAAAATTAAACCGAAGTGGAAATTGATAGGGTTTCTGAATCAATTTTCCCCAGTTATTTTAAATGATACTTTTTGGTGGGATAAGGCATATAATTGTATCTAAACTTCATTTTTAATGGGTGTACTATTCTTTATTTTTAATAAGCTGATATAAAAGGCCAGGAGTAATAGACATTATTAATCTCCAGTGCTTTTTCATGAATTTTTCACAAGGGCTTAATTAATCTGCTCTGAGGTTGTAGAATTCAGCCCCAATTTACATGCCTCTGCTGTAAATTCTTTTTTTCCCCTTGTCCTTTTTTTTTTTTTTCTCCTTTCCTTTGCAAGGAATTTTTCTTTCCCCTTTAAATGACTGCAGTTAATGAATGGTCAAGGGCTTTTTTCCCCCCTTCTTTAAATCAGATCTTGGGGTTAAGTCGGGAAGCTGCCTTTTGTTCTTCCAGTCAGGTCGTGAGGCTGAAGATGTGGGTTTCTGATTATAGGCGGCACAATGCAAAAGGAATTGCTTTCCACAGTGAGAAGGGGATGCTTTGTTGCTGAGGGGCGGGGTGGGGGGCCAGTCAATGCCAGTGTCCTGAGCGCTGAAATCATGCAGTTGGACTAGACCCTTGTAGAGACTATGGAGGGGTTTTCAAATCTGCCGTCCTGCTGCCAGGCCCTCCCTGTCCTCCTTTGCTGCCTCTGTGTGTTGCCCTGAATTGTGACCCCTTAGCACATACTGGAAATCTTGCTGACATTTATCAGGATGGATCCAAACAATGGAAACACCTTGGAACCTGCTTTATAAGAGGCTGGTTATGTGCATCCTTCAATTTGAAAAATAAGCCAAACATGTTCTCCCCCGTCCTCCACACGCACACACAGGAAAGAAAAGGGGGGGAAAAAGAGTTTCTAGAGAATCATAAATTATCCTTAGGCACAACTTGTTCTCCGTCACATACTGTCGCTGTGTTTACATTCATTTGACTTACAACCAGCCCGATTAATGTCACATGTTGCTACCGGGGCAGTTTAGGATTGGGACTGCTGGTGGGGACATCGACTGGTTCCTGGCAGGCGAGAGGAGCTACAAATGAGAATGTGGCCAATACCAGCCAGGAGAAAACTCAAACGCCAAACCAACCATCTTTGGGTTTCTTGGGGGCTTCTTATCAGGGCTGGCTGCTATTTACGGAAGAGCTGCTTGATAGCTGGCAGCTTTGGCTCCTGGGCCGTGGGCCGCAGGCAGAATGCATCCTCAGTCGCATTCTTCAGCCGCGCAACACGCAACGCCATGGCACCGGCCCCAACAAAGGCCCGGCTTCGCTCTCCATTCCCAGGCCCTTGTGTATGGCCGGCCGGCTCAGAGTTTACAAAGACACCAAACAGCCAGAAGAATTGGGGTTTATGTTTCCTTTCAGTCTTTCACAAACACATTAGTGATCTGGCCTTTCCTCGCCACTAGGGGAATAAGTAGTTACAAATGCACTGTGGGTTTTTTTTTTTTTTGGGGGTGTTTAAACCTCTGCATTTTGGACGTTTATTATCTGTCTATTCATAATATTTTTATTTGGAGCAAGCGATTTCTTCTGGACTTACGAAGGAATGCACTTTCTGTACGTGGCAGCCCTGATGCTTTGACAATGATGAACACATTTAAGTTGTGCTCCACTTGTTTACAAAAGTCTCCTTTTGCTAGCACATCAAAAGCATTTTTTCTCTCCTCTAGTACAATGGTATATTCATGCTGTCAGCCTTTACTTAGAGGTTAGAAGCGTCACTTTATTGGCGCTTACCACAATACAATCTGAAACTTCATTTGTTATTACTTTAAAAAAATTGCATTGCACGGAAATCTATTTGTGGTTTGTGACATCGGAATTGTAGTTTAGAGAAATGACCCCATGCTTTAAAATGTTGGGTAGAATTTGTTCTAGGTTGAAGGTGAAAGGTTGATGACCAAATTTGGTTTCATTGATATGCTGATGCTTAAATTTCTTTCCACTAGAAAGCTTAGGTAGAAGCTCAGCTGGGGCTGCAGTTGTATTCTTTGAGAAAGACACACAAACTTCTGGAAAAGTTGCCCTTCTTTCCAGTAACTATCCTTAGACTACCTGAAGGCAGTGGATAACATGAGTCTGACTCTGCAGACCTGGCATTACGCACTAGAGTATAAAGGGGAAAGAATAAGTTGGAAAGTTCACCGCTTGTCATTCTGAAGCACGCTTTTTCTCATTTTTGTATTTCGTTTTTAAGTTTTTCTAATCTTGTACAATAGGTAGCAGACAAAAAAGGCTGAGCCTCATAATTTTGACAGACACGTATGGCAAGAAAAAAAAGTACAGAGTATTTTAAAGGATTCAGTGCTTACCTTTCCAAAGTCTAGAAGAATCGGGGAAGATACACACGATGAACACATGATTTTTGTGTACTGTCTTGTGTCATCTTTTCACTCAAATAAAAGGAGGTCCATGTTTGATTTTAAATTAAGGCCCTTGTATTTGACATGGGAAGTTTATCTTAAAACAGTATGCATTATTCAAAGTTTCCCTATTTGCAAAGTCATTAGAATTCCTAGAAACACTTTCATTTGTATTTTCCAGCTGTGCACTCAAGGATCTGAAGGGTGTCATTTAAAAAGAAAGAAAGAAAGAAAAAATTGGGTATGCCAGGATTTTAACTGATTTATGTTTTTGACTCTTGGAAATGGAAATGAAAAGATCCTACAGAAGTCTCTGGGAAAACGGGCATAATGTGTTATTCTACTTCCAGCCTTCGATCTGTCAGCCGAGAGCTAGCTCCGAGCCTTACAGTGACAGACGCTGACACATGAATAATCAGTATAATGGAAGATTGCTGATTGGGTTTCCCTGCCGTACAACAAAACGTTCATCTGGCTATTTCACACTTTAGAGAGCAGGTGATACGCAGTGACTATAAACGCAATTTGGTGTAACAGAAACAGATATCAAAACATGAATTACTGATGAGGCCTGCCTCCTCCTCCTCCTGACCCTACGCAGGAAACAAAGACAGTAAAATAATCACACTGATTATCCAAGCCCAGACTAATGATTTACTTTTTTGTGTTGTTCCTCCCTACACCTTCTATCAGATGCTATGCTGATGGTTGCAGAGAGGCTAGAGGGTCCCTTCAACATTGAATCAGTCATGGATCCCATCGATGTGAAGATTTCTGATGCTATTATGAACATGCAGGATAATAGTGTGCAAGTGTCTCAGAAGGTAACGAAGGCAGGATGCTGGAAAGAACTAGAAGTATGCGTGGGCTTGCAATGTAACTTCTCTAATATGACCACACTTACTCCGATGCAGGTTTTCCAGGGATGTGGACCCCCTAAACCCCTCCCAGCTGGACGAATTTCTCGTTCCATCTCTGAAAGTGCCTTCAGTGCTCGCTTCAGACCACATCACCCTGAGGAACGCCCAACCACAGCGGCTGGCACTAGTTTGGATCGACTGGTGAGACTTGGGCAGGAATGGTCCTGTTTAATGAGTTAGAACTGAAAACATTTGCTCAAAATGAATTTTAGTTGGAAGGTTTACAACTGTGTGTCTTTCAGGTGTGACTTTTCAAGCACATCGCATATGGATGTCAGTAAATCTACCCCACTTATTTCTTTTTAAAAAATAATTTTTAAAAAGCTTGTTTTTTTAATTGCTAGAGGGTCTGTGTACTAAACAGATAAACAGAGGTAGAGGGAGAAAGCCCCCCCACCCAGTAGGGTATGGTCACGCCACAGTCCCTTCTCCATTTCTCCATCCTGTTGGGATTTGGGGCACACACGCACACCCACTTATCATGAGTTTCAAGCTTCTGGGGTCAAGACTCAAACTGCCCAGTCTACCATATAAGAAATGTCTCCATTAACCACCAGGCCTTGTCCCCCCCCTCCCGAATTTTTTTTTTAATTGCCAGAGGTGAGAGAGAGAGGGCAAGAGAATCCCCCTCTCAGTGGATCATGGCTGTGCTAAAATTCCTTTTCCTCCACTTATCTATCTGGTCAAGATTTTGGCCACGCCTGTGCCAGGTGTGTTTTTGTCAAGTTGATGGGGCTGGTATTTGAGCTATACTCAACCAGGTGGGATCCGACTTTCTATGCCTAGGGCTTATCCAGAGCACTATGGGGCCAGCCCAGCCTCTCTCATTTCTGTCTACAGAGTCAAGGAAATATGATGGAACAAGTCTTGTCAAAAACTGCTCTTTATTTTCATCATGTATTTATTAGCCGTCATTATGCTTGGCACAGGGAGTTTCAGAGAACCCAGCAAAGACGGGAGAAGCATATGGTCCAGGCTTACTAACATTAGGTGATGTATAGCACATGATAGGATGGGAGAAGAGTAAGGGAATATATGCCTGTACATAACCATATGATGCAAAAATGTTCCAGAACACTAGTACACTAGTAGGAGGGAATGCAGAGGAGGGAGCCTGAGGAGACAGGTGGGTGAGGAGGAAGAGCAGTACCTTAAAGCTTCACAGGGGTGGATAATTTATCCTCTTCATCTTGATTATAAAAGACCTTGAGTCTTAATTACTATGCCTTTAGGGCACAGATCTTGGTGGGCCTCAGATTGTAATGATAATGAACAGCTAGAATGGCCAACCAACAGATCTAGGCAACTCCTTCAGAGTTTGCATTTTAACTATACATTCCTGTGAGTCATTCTTTTCTGTTTCTAGGTGCCTTAGTAGGGCTGGCTCTGTAGTCCAGCTCAAGAGTGTCTCTGCTCAAGAGAAGTCAAATCATACTTGGCAACCATGGTTCAGATCCCTGGCCCAGTCAGGCCGAAACATATCAGACGTGTACACATGTGCCCAAGATCCAATGGGGTGGAGGACTGGAGAAAGGAGATTGTGGCATGGCCTGATCCTGTGGAGGGTGCCTCCCTCTTTTTCTCTCTCTCTTGATCTCTCACTCATGCACGGGCATGCACATGTGCTCCAGCGTGAGCGACAAAACAAAATGTTAAATATTAAGTATAGTAGTGTCCCCTTATCCATGGGGATATGTTCCAAGTCCTCAGTGAATGCCTGAAACCGTGGATAATACCAAACCCCTTCTATGCTGTGTTTTTCCCCCTATACACATATACCTGTGATAAAGTTTAATTTATAAATTAGGCATAGGAAGACATTGTTAGTGATGACTAATACTATGATATGACAATTATAACAATATACTACAGTAAAAATGATGTGACTCCCTTTTTCTTATAATACCTTACTGTACTGTACTCACCTAATTTTGGACTTTGATTGACTGTGGGGTAACTGAAACTGCAGAAAATGAAACCATGAATCAGAGGAGACTGCTATATAAATCAGATCTGCATCTTTCTCTTCTGATTAAAGTAAAAAATGAATTGTGTATCCCTGTAGAGATATTTTAGAAATGATCCAAATGCCTATCTGCAGGCAGCTTTGTATTGTTTTATACAGTTCTTTCTTTTCCATTTATTAATTAGGTAACTGATGTCAAAGAAAAACTGAAACAGGCCAAGAAGTTCTGGTCTTCTCTTCCTAGCAACGTTTGCAATGATGAGAGGATGGCTGCAGGAAATGGCAATGAGGATGACTGCTGGAATGGAAAAGGCAAAAGCAGGTTAGCTAGCCTTCATTGAATGGATTTGCAGGTCTTCCTTCCTAGGCGCCTGGCTGTGACCTTTAGAGGTTTCTCTCAATTGTCAAGGTATCATGAAGCAGTTCACAGTAGGTGTAGGTAGCATTCACATAGATGTTACCGAACTCAAATCAGGTTCTCTCACCCAAGCGCTATAAAACCAAGCCATAGGCACCTGGTGTGATGAAGGAAGGTACAGCTTTATTGCAAAACGCAAAGCAAGGAGAGCAGGCAGCTCATGCTGAAAAGACCTGGTCTCCCTGAGATGTTCCCCACATGCGTTTTTAAGGGCAAAATTAGGGGCAGAGGTGCCAGGCGCATGATCAGTTCAGTGATTGGTTCAAGAGGGCATGATTAGCTCGTGGGCATTCTTGATTGGTGAGGCCTTAGATAATCAAATTCCTCTTCAGGTGTCTGGAACTGTTCAGCCTGGAGTCTGAGCTCACAACCAGCAGTTTCTAGTCTACAAAACATTTTACATATTAAAATAAAAACCTTTTTTTTTTTAAGTGAGAGTTTTAGAAGTCAAATGGCCCTCACTCATAGTCTATGTTAGTCATTATTATAACCAAAGTCTGAAGACTTACTCCTTACTCTGGGCCGTTACAATGCAAATGGACTTTATATTTTAGAAATCCTAAAAAATACATTAGGGGGGTCTTGCTCTGTTTCATAGAGAGGCTTCTAGGTGGGCTTTGCAGTAGAAGTGTTGGGGTAGATATCCAGCTCCATTAGACTTCATTAGGAATTGAAGAAGGTCCATTTAACTGTGCCCAGTGGAAGTAGTAGAATCTAGCAGAAGTGTTTATGGTCTTTCTCTTTTTGCTTTACCAATTATCTTATTGAGGTCATTTCTGATTTCATTCAGATACCTGTTTGCAGTGACAGGAAATGGCTTAGCCAACCAGGGCAATAACCCAGAGGTCCAGGTTGACACCAGCAAACCAGACATACTGATTCTACGTCAAATCATGGCTCTTCGGGTTATGACTAGCAAAATGAAGAACGCTTACAATGGGAATGACGTGGACTTCTTTGATATCAGTAAGCATTTGCAGTTTTAAAGTATACATTTGTTCCTGTATGCCTTATGATAAGAACAAGTGGAATGAAATCTCTGTCCCATCTTTTAAAAACAGGTGATGAAAGTAGTGGAGAAGGAAGTGGAAGTGGATGTGAGTATCAGCAGTGTCCTTCAGAGTTTGAGTACAATGCCACCAACCATGCTGGGAAGACTGCCAATGATAAAGCCGACAATGCTGGTGCCCGACCTGGGGCCCAGTCATACCTCCTCACTGTCTTGTGCATCTTGTTCCTGGTTATGCAGAGAGAGTGGAGATAATTCTCAAATGTTGAGAAAAAGTGTTCATCATCAAAAAGTTAAAAGGCATCAGTTATCACTTTTAATACCATCCTAGTGACTTTGCTTTTTCAATGAATGGACAACGATGTACAGTTTTTACTATGTGGCCACTGGTTTCCAAAACGCTGACTTTGTTTTTTTCATTCGGTTTGGGGGGGGTGGGGGAAGGGACTTGTACGTTCAATTGGTTCCCGCTTACCCAGAATCATGTTAAACGTGGCTAACAGTGTAGGTACAGAACTGTAGTTAGTTGTGCATTTGTGATTTTATCACTCTATTGTTTGTTTGTTTTTTCCTCATTTTGTTTGTGGGTTTTTTTTCCCCCCAAATTATGATCTCACCTTGTTTCTTACAAGAAAACCAGGGTCCTTTCTTGGCATGTAACATGTACGTATTTCTGAAATATTAAATAGCTGTACAGAAGCAGGTTTTATTTATCATGCTATCTTATTAAAAGAAAAAGCCCAACAAGCAGTAAAATTTCCATTTATCCCTGTTATTTTAGTTGCCTTGTCTGGAGAGAAGTGGAGGTGATTTTGGTTTTTGTTATTATTATTATTAAGTTAGGACAGAATGTGAAGGCACGAGTAGGCTGCTGAGCCACTTGTCAGATTGTATTCAAGCATCAATGCAACAAGAAGGCTATAGTGCATTTATATTTGGCGACCAGAAGAGACTGCAGACTACCTATTTGGGTTGAGTTGAATTGCCTACGCTAAAATCACCCACAGGTCCATTTCTTGAACCGTCTTACACTTACAATGTAACTCATTTAGACAACGATTCTCCTCTGATGTAGTCTCCTTTGAAAGACGAAAGGCAATCCAGGATGTCCCAGTTATCACATGTTCACACTTGGGTTTGGGTTTGTTATTCTCGTTGTTTTAAACCAGGCAAGTTAGCCAGCCACTGTGTGCTAGTTTTCATGTCCTCACTGACCCTCTTTGAATTTTTATCCCAATGATAGCAGTAAGAGACCAACCATCTTATTTGGTCCCCCTTGTTACAGTGGTCCAGATTTCAAAGCCAGCCATAGCCAGGAGCCGCCTGGGAGCTAGCCAGGATTAGGGTGCAGACTGGGCTCAGGGATTAGCTGTCAACACATGAGCAAAATTTTTGTCCTTGCATGTGCATTTGCATTTGTTCTTGGAATCCAAGGTGTTTCTTTTTTATTATTATTTTTAAATAGAGTTTAAGGTGTCTTACTTGAGTCTTTTTCTTATCCAGCCCCTGTGATCAGTAAAGCATAGGATTTGCAGTGGTTTGCAGCTGTGTACTGCCCATATCAGCCAAGAAGCCTGCTTTGGGGGAGAAATGGCTATCCAGATTTTTTTTCTTGTGTTGATTTTGGGGGAAGGAGGAGTAGGTAAAGCCTAGATGATTACATCTTAGTAGTGACCCTCAGCCACATGGGTGAAGTGGCAAAGGCCATACCTGTTGTCCCAGGCCAAAGACCAACAACTGCCTTGGCCCCTTATAAACCTTTTCCTATGTCTTTACCAAATGACAGCTCATAAAACTCTGAGAATGTAACAAATCACTTTAAAAGAAGTTCCCAAAAGTCTTCTGAAAGAGCAAAATTCTGCAAGTCTCTTCCTGCTTCAGCCAGCCATTAAGATCCCGACCAACTCTACAGAAGCTAAAACCCACAGAGAGGTTGTTTGTGTTACTGTTCAATCTTCAGTTGTAAGAGTAATTCTCTATTTTTATATTGAAACATAATTACTTGATAGCTCAGGGTCTACATTTCATTCAACTTTTTACACCAAAATCTGCAGAAGGGTCAAAATAGAATATTGGGGGCTGTTGTAAACAGAGGCTTAATTTTATTAGAAGTAGCCAGTTATTTATTAAAGCATGATGTTAATAAAATAGGCATATTCTGGCCGGTGTGTATAAGTGTTTGTTTTTTTGGTTTTTTTAAACAAATTACAGAATACATAAAATTGAAAAGGCACTCCATTTATATATGAGGAAAAATAGATTGTAAATAGCTAAGCTGCCTTGTGAGAACTTGGAAAATGTGCTGATATTTAGTAACTACCTCAGTTGTGAGGAATTTCCTTTTTAGCTTAGACTGCTATTACTTTTACTTGGTAGAAATGAATCTGGTCTCCAAAATATGGCTCAAAGAGTTATCCCCATAGACCTTGTTAGATTGTTTTTAATTTAAAACCTTGAACTCTGCCCAGCTGTTTTCTTTCAGTCAGGTTCTCTAAACCATTAACATTTTCCGAATTAAATATTCTTGAAGGTTCTTCTGGACTCTTACTGATTTGTTTTCTTTTTTTGCATTTTTCCCTGGTACCCTTATATTATTTAAATTGTCTCTTGCTTTTGAACTTGAGCTATGAAATAAACAAATCATAGATTTTTCCATTCAGGTCTGACTGGATAACTCTTGGCTTCTAACCAGTTGGCAGGCTCATTACCACCCCCACCCCCCAAAAGAATAAAGGCAAGTTGAATTTTTTAAAACCTTAGGAGTATGGAGTATGAGGTAAAATAAAAGCCCTGTTAGAAGATGACCCAACTTTCCCAAAGTTTAATAGCATGTGAAGCAGTTGCATTTTACGAAGTCACTTATTAATTATTTTTCTTTCAAACACTTCATCCACTCTGTACCTTAAGGGAACATTTTAAGACTCTTGGACCACTCTGTACCTTAAGGGAACATTTTAACACTCTTGGATTTATATTTTATTTTAAAAATAGTAATCAGAAGTTAGGGTCTTTGTTTTTGTTTTTTGTTTTCTTGTGAAAGAAAAGGACACTGAGTTTTTTTGTCCACCCCCCTCCCCCCCAAAAAAATGTCATTGCCATGGCTGTGCGTGCACTCCCTGGAGAGAGACAGTGAGAGGGGAAGTGCTGAATCACAACCCCCTCCCCCCCCACCCCTGTGGAGGACGGCTATGCCACAATACTTTCTCCTCCATCGTCCTCTTGTAGTTTTGGGCACATATTCACACCCACCCAGTATGTTTCAAACTCCTGGTTCCAGACTCCAACTGTGTTTGGTCATGTCCAGCACTTTACCACTCCACCTGCTGTCTTTCATGTTTAGACATTGGTTACTGAGTGTTAGAAACCTAACAGTTTACATAAAGTAAAATTTGTCATTTGTCACAACAGAACCACAGCAAAAATAGATGTTAGTGGTGCTACACAAAATTCTGCTTCCCTTCTTGAGTTTGCAAATGTCCATTTACATAGCTAAAGGGTAGTAAATTCATCACAGTATGTATTAGAGGACGTATGTGTGTGTGTGTGTGTGCATGCATGTGTGTGATTTTACTATTAAGCAAATGCCAAAGTACCAAATACAGCTTTCTACTTCTTCTGAAATAACAAAAAGGTACACAGAAAATTCTTCCGATTTAGAGCAGTGAGAAATAGAAAAAATATAGCTCTGTGTTTTAGGATATATTTTGCAAATAGTTTCTATTTAACTCCTAATTCTTCTAAAAATCCTTCTTATATATGTGAAAAGTATCTGAAAGATGACATGGTAACAGGAATTCAAGTCTATCAGTGAGGCAAATACTATATAATACTCACTTGCCTACCTTGGTTTTTAATTAGTAACATGTTGACAGTGTTTAAACCAAAACACATATAAAGGGATCAAGTGAATTTCCCTCCCACTCCACATTTGCCCAGTTACCCCACACACATACCCAAAGGAAGCTTACTAGTTGCTTATATATGTCTTCTTTAAAAGTTCCATTATGCATGTGCAAACAAATATAAAAAGTTTTTCCTTTTTTATATAAAAAGTATGCATTTTATGCCCTATGAAGTTCTATTCAAGTTAATTTTAAATTGAGAATAGAGAAAAGGTACAGATTTGTAATTAACTAAGTTTAGGATTATTACTCAAAAGACATGGCTTCTCAGTGGAACTACATTTTGATTTGTTACTACATGTTGGTCCAGATCAGTCTAGGTAGTTTTAGGGGAAACATTGAATAGAATGAAGAGCAGTTTCTCCAGATAGTGTTGTAATCCCAGAGTGTACAACTGGGCGCTCTCTGTATTAAGGTTCATTTTTGCATGTTATCACCAGTGAAGAAGACATTGGCCAAAGCAATTGGGAAGATCATCTTAGAGCACAGCACATGAGTACCAGTACCTCTATGAGGAAAATGTGTAACCAGGTCTTGGTTACTGCGAGTATTATTCATCCAGTAATTGAGGGATCATTGGAATGTGCAGACCTGGAGGCCAGCACGTGGTATGATGATCAAGTGCAGGACTTCCACATGGCCAACCATGGTTCAAGTCTTGGACCCAACAGCTTGAAAATCACACCGATCATATGTGCATGCATGCTCAAAATCATGAGAGGAGATAGGAGAAGTGCAGCGCCCCTTTCCCAGGGGGAAGGTGATTTATCACTTTCCCTCTCTCTGTCTTCAGCAAGGACATATGCCCTACGACAAAAACCTTCAAAAAATGCAAATTGTCCCAAGTTCAGTTTTCTCATAAAGTTGAATTTTATGGGGACCAGTAGTTAGTGTAATAGCTATGTTGCTGAATTCCCATGTAGTCGATCCTGGACCCGGTGGCTTAAACTCACGCTGGGCATGAGCATGCATGCCCAAGATCCCAAGAGGAGAATGGAGAAGGGATTGCCGCGTGGCCATCCCCCCTGGGGGGTGATTTCTCACTTTCTGTCTCTCTGTCTCTCTCTGTCTTTCTGGCAAGCGCACACCCCCTATAGCAAAAACCTCTCCCAAAAAAGAAAAGTTGAATTTTATGGATCAGTGTTTGAAGCTTCTGATTTCACCATTAATCAGTGAAATCTACAAAATCCATTTCTCAGTGTCCTGTAATTTTTCTCCGATCACATGTAGAATTAAATGCACATTTCCATCTACTTTTGACATTTCTTAAATGTTAGGAGGTTAGCCTCAGGCCACAAACTTGGGATTTCCCATGTAGGTTCGCATGGCAGAACATTGTATTAGTATTGTGCTACCCTGTGGCTGACATATTAATCTCACATCTCTCACATGATGGGACTACCAGGCTTATATGTTATGTGTGTGTATATACACAGTTACTTACATGTATGGACACATGCACATGCACACTCACAGATCTGCTTATTTGTTGTGTATTTTCAAACAATCCCAGGCAAACCCTACCATCACTTTTGGGCTACCTTCCCCAGCTGTCAATGGTGTGTGCTTGGGGAACGCAGACTAATTTTAATAATAGCGTAAGGAAAACATCATTAAGAAGGTAAGTCTCCTGCCAAGAAGAAAAAAATACATATAAAATGCATTCCAGGGCCCAAACAGAATTCATTATGTTTACCACTGCCTGGGATTTGCTTTTCTGCATCACTCTAACCTGAAGCTGATGATAACTTGTTCATGGTGACTCACCACATAGGGCATTCTGACATCAGGTTGACTTAAAGAAATAATCATGGTCAGACGTCGGTTTTCCAAGCACATGCATTTAGGACCTCAACTCTGATCCAGGACATTTATCTTGAAAGGATTTTTAGCACCTCTGCTCTTATTTCTGTTTTAACACATAAATAAATGGTTTTTACTCTTGCTATTTCAGTTCTGAATACTTTGCAGCAAGTTCTGGAAGTTGCAATGAACTGTCAATTGGACATATTTACTATAAAAAAAAAAAAAGGAACAAAACAGAAACTAGCTACTTGCTGTTTATTTACCTGTTGTCCTAAGAAGTGAGGCAGGAAGATCCTGTGTCTTGTACTATGGCTGGGCCACATTTATGGTCTCACATGGTCTTACATAGTAGAAATCACTCCATTGAGATGAGTAAAAGCACATGAAGAAATTAAGCAACTTGTCTAAAGGCGACATAACAAATGCAAGAACCAGATTTGGAGTAGAAGTTTGTTTGCCATCAAAGCCTGTTCAGGTGCTAACTTTTTTTTTCAATTAACCCTTTCAGCTTACTCCATGTTGTCTGAATCATTAAGAAGGACCAAGGTTTGTCAAGTTGCCACATGTAGAACTGTCCTGGCTCTAAGGAAGGATCAAGTTAATGGTCATGGAAGGCTTTGGTTGATTTTGTCTACCCGAGTGTGGGTGAAGGAGTCAAGGGCCACCTGGAGAAAAAAATTTTTTATTGGAAGAGAGAGAGAGAGACTCTTCCTCTTTTTTTTTTTTTTTTGGGGGATTTTTCACTAATGGGGCACGGGCGCTCCCACACAGAGAGACACAGAGAGACAGAAAGCGAGAAATCACCCTCCAGGGGGGATGGTCACGCCGCAATCCCTTCTCCCCCATTCTCCTCTTGGGATCTTGGGCATGCACGCACACACACCCAGCGTGAGTTTTAAGCCACCGGGTCCGGGACGCGAACCGACTTCGACTATGTGGGAATCCAGCAACATAGCCATTACGCTAACTGCTGGTTCCCCCTGGAGACAAATTTTGATGAAAAGTTTTTCTAACCTCACACGGTGGGCTACTTGCTCTGTGAATTTCAAAGCAGAAAGAGTTTGGATAATAGTACTTAGGAACTACATGACATCTGTGTACTGAGTCTTGGCGAACCGCTATTAACATAAGTGATTCTGTCCATCCTCTCCAGACCAGCCTCATGACCCTGTGTTTTGAAAGTGTTCTGGCAGCTACAGTGCTGGGAAGGCTCAACTCACTGAATCCTTAAACATACCATGGTTTATGTAGAGAAAATTCATACCTGCTTCATCAGCTGGGGCTCTAGGGGGTGGTAAGTACAACTTGGCATAAGTGGGGTTCAGGGAACGTAATCTGGGCTTCGTAAAGAGCCCTTGACAAGGTTCCATCTTGAAAGCTACACCTGGGTCTGATTAGTCACAAAGAACACAGAAAAACAGCTACTGCCGTAGATGGAGAGCATAAAAATAGG